TCCTTCCCGGTCAGGGCACCTGCCAGGGGTTGCGGGCTCGGTACCCAATGTGGGTGAGGGGGTGAGGGGGGAGATGAGAGGATGGGAGGAGGGAGGACGAGAGGGTGGGGGGGAGATGGGAGGACAGGGGGACGGGGGGATGGGGGGATGGGAGGATGGGAGGATGGGAGGATGGGAGGATGGGAGGATGGGGGGATGGGAGGATGGGAGGATGGGGGGATGGGAGGATGGGAGGATGCTCGCTGGTGGCCGCCTGTTTTCCTGTGCGGAACCAGTTCCTCAGCAGCCCGGCAGCATCTGCCATTCCTTCTGCTGCCAGGAGCCGGGCTGCCTGGGAGGTGGGCCCTCCCTCCCTCAGGCCCCCGAGCGGCCTCCCCTGGGAGCTGAGACCCACGCGTCCGTGTCCTGGAGCCACGGACACAGTGACCGGGACGGGTGGCTCCGGGCAGCGGCGTTCATCCTCTGGCCGCTCTGGGGGCGGCGTCTGATATCTAGGTGTGGCCAGGCCCGCTGGTGCCTCCCCGCAGCCTTTGGGGCCCGGTGTCCTTGGCCGGCAGCATCACATTCCCTGGGTGTCCTCTCCCCGCCTCCGCAGGAAGCCCGTCCTTGGATCTAGGGCCACCCTTCTGCGGGGTGACCCCCTATCGCCTCACCATGTCTGTGAAGACCCGCCTCCACACGCAGGCACGTTCGGAGGGTCCGGTGGGCCTGAATCCGGGGGGCTATTCACCTCAATGTGTAAACAAAACCCCAAGTGACAGCAGTGACCCCCAAAACCTGACTCGCAGAAGCAGAGTCAAAGCCAGGCCACCCTGTCCCCTCCTTCCCCTTTAAGAGCCACCACAGGTTGTGGGGTCTTTTCCGCGAGGTTAAAACGTTTGCGGCTCCCTGTGCCCCTTCCCAGGCAGCGCCACCCCCTTAGGCTCCCCGGGGCAGTGTGGGGAGGCCCCCCCCCGAAGAGGCAGGGACCTTCAGAGACCAGGTCAGACCTCCCAGGGGAGCCCAGGAAAGGACTGCCCTCGTCCCAGCAGGTGAGGTGGAAGTCTGGGTTCTCCCCGGGCCCCTGGGGACATCTGGTTCGGGGGAGGGGCCCCTCCATGTTGCTGAGAAGAGAGCAAAGTTCAGCCCCCGCGCCCCCTCATCCGGCCTCTGCTGATCCCTCCTGGCTGGGAGGGGCTGGGTGCTTCCTTACTGCCCCCCACATGGCCTCTGCGGGGACCGCAGGGGCAGGTGGCCTTGCCTCTCCTTGGGCTCAGAGCCCTCTCTGGACCTCCTCCTGCAGCAGCCACGGGGGGGAGAGGGCCCACCTGCCTGGCTGCCATGAGTCCGCCTTCCCAGCCTTCTCTGACCCTGACAGTTCCGGTGAGAGAGAGGGGCCTGGGCACCCCTTTCAGCTGGAGGTCCAGGCGCCCACCCCCCTTCTGCGGACACGAGGGCACAGAGAGGTGAGGCCACTTGCCCAGGCCACCCAGTCCGGGCAGGGAGGTGCCTGCACCATCAGCCATCAGAGGCGTGCGGGCTGGGATGGTCAGGGCGGGGACCTCACGGCCTTCCCGGGGGCTCTGTGGCCTCCGACACAGATAGAGCCGCCCTGACCTCGTGGCTGGCTCTCGCAGTCATTTATCGGACACGGTGGGACCGCCGGCCCCGCAGCTCCGTGATGGATGCTGCGCGGTCACCCGGCGGCTGGCTGGGGGCGCGCCGGTCAGAGGCCCGGGATCGCAGACGGATGTTCTGTGTCCTCCTGTTCATCACTCTCACCCTTTTTCCTTTTTAATTGTCCGTCGAGAGGACGCTCTGCCCCGTGACGGATTGGCCTGGTGGCTTACGCTGCACGTAGGAAGGGGATGTTTCTCAGTGGGACAAAAGGAAATACGTGTGTGTTTAGTAGGCCAGGGACCTGCTACACAAATGAAGAACCAGGTAAAAAAAAAAAAAAAACAACCACCCCGCTTTAGAGCACTACTTGTATGAAGTAACTCTTAATAAGGGGGCCGCTTCGCGTGGGTGCAGTGCTTTTCTCCTGAAGGCGAAGAGCTTGGCCGAATCACTTTTCCCGCGTTTACCGCTAATGAGGAACGTGGCCGCTTTTGTTCTTGCAGAAGCCCTCAGAGTCACTAATGAACCTAAAAGGAGCGAAGCTGGCCTGGGTCACGTGAGGCAGAGGCCTGCTGTCAACTGCAGGGGAGGGGGGCGCAGAACGGAGGTGGGGTGAAGGCATCGAATGCCGGGGCCGGGGGACGGGCGCTGGGAGGGCGCCACGGGTCTGCACTTTTGAAAATGTAATGCATATGGGACCTGACACTTGGCCCGGCCGGGCGGAGAGCGATGGTCTGCACAGGATCATCTCCATCCCAGTGAGATGTGTTCTGTCCGAGAGGAAATTAGATTTCAGAACACATGGCTCTCCTTTCATGGCCATGAGCCGGCAGCTGTGGGCGCCTTCCCCGGGCCAGACCAGACCCCCGAGCAGATGTGAGAGATTCGTCAAGGCTCCGTCTGCCAGCGGCCACTGCGGCCAGTGCGTTTCCTGACCGGCGGCCCAGGAGATGGGATCCGGTCTGTGCAGGGTCCGGGAGCAGCTGGGGCGGCCTCTTCCCAGCCAAGCAGGAAGACAGGGACCTCAGCAGGTGGTTCTCTTTTTCTTTAAACAAATATTTTTATTGATGTCAGAGAGAAAACGAGAGGGGGAGAGAGAGAGAGAGAAACATCAATGAGGGGAGAGAATAATGGATCGGCTGCCTCCTGCAGGCCCGACACGGGGGATAGAGCCCGAAACCCAGGCATGTGCCCTGACCGGGAGTCGAACTGTGACCTCCTGGTTCATGGGTCCATGATCAACCACTGAGTCACAAAGGCCAGGCTGTAACCAGGATGTATTTAATACCTGTTATCTTGGGGTGATGTCTCCTGCATGAGTTGTTTTCCTAAAAAAATGTACTTATAAAGCTTTCAACCTCCGAGTCAGCCACTCATAGCTGGGTATAAAGTGAGTGCCTACCTTGGTGGATAGCTAGGATTTAAAAACAAAACAAAACATTTTATTGACTTTTTACAGAGAGGAAGGGAGAGGGAGAGTTAGAAACGTTGATGAGAGAGAGACATCAGTTAGCTGCCTCCTGCACACCCCCTACTGGGAATGTGCCCACAGCCAAGGTACATGCCCTTGACCGTAATTGAATCTGAGACCCATGAGTCCACAGGCCAATGCTCTGTCCACTGAGCCACACTGGTTAGGGCAATAGCTAGGGTTTGATGTTCCTGTATGTGAGGGCAACCTGCCTGTGAGCCGATGAGGTGACTTTTCCATTAGATTTTAATTCACTGGAGTAGTGAAGGTTTTGAGGTCTTTCATTTCTCCACTTGAGTGCAGACATGGCACTGAATGCCCTGTTCTCCCAACATGTTTGCAGGCTTTGTTGAAATGGAAGCTCAGGGTTAGCTGTGGGGACAATACCACATTCTGTCTACAAATCACTGGGCTGTGCTTTCTTCTGATGGAAACTAAGCAATTTTCAGATTCAAACTCTGAGAGAGGCACCAATGGATCACATCCTAAGGAACCTAAAGAATTAGGAACCGACATTGAAAAACATTTATAATCCACAGTATCGAAGCTCCAGTCTCACAGCATCTAGTTCTGCCCTGGCCGGGGATGTCAGTTGGCGAGATACATGCAGCTGCCACGAGGTCCACGCATGCTATCATTTTTCTCAGTAAGCACAGCGCTATCTCCAAGACTACCAATCTGACGGAATCAGACCAGGGAGCCACATCTTAACCCTCCATCTCCCCACGCTCAGACCCATTTTCAGTTGCCTGCTTGTCACATAAGCTGCCAAACATCTTATCTGCACGCGAAGTGTGTGTGTGTGTGTGTGTGTGTGAGTGTGTGTTCAGAAGCTGGGCAGTTTTAATTCTTGGGATTATCAGGACACTGGCTTCTTGGGAATCATCCCACAACCCCGGACAAAAAGGTGAAAACTGTCCGCTTTGATGAAAGACAGCAGGATCCTCCCACTCCCTGGGCCACTGGTAAATACGAAACAGTTGCTGGAAAATTATGTTAGAGATGAATTAGCTCCTCCATTACAGTGTTTTCTTTTCTTTAATGCAATTTAGTTCAAGCAGAGAGAACAAAAAGGCTGGGCAGGCGGGAGCTGCTGGAAGAGGGCTGTGCGGGGAGACAGGGGGTTCACGGCAGACGGGGAGCAGGGGTGAGCCGAGGCCTTCTGTCCGGGAGGCCTGCGCCCACTGAACTCAGAGCTCCTTCTGCACCACAATCCGGGGCAGCTGGCAGCTTCCCAAGGGAGCCGGGAGGGAAGCTGCGAGGGCATCTGAGGCCACACAGGCCGGCGCCTGCGGAGCCGGGGTGCCCCCCCCTCCACCCGGAGCGCCGGGCGGGGCGGCCCCGTGATGCCGCTCGTTAGAGAGCCTTTCCCCGTGTCCATCTGAAAGCGCGCTCCTCGCCGCAGAGCAGCGCCTCCATCGTCTCTCCGAGGGCTGCGGGGCTGGGATGGCTCCGAAAACAAATCGGAGCCGCAGGAGGAAGGCCTGACTTTGGAGGACGCGCGCGCCTGGACCTTTCCTCCGGAGCGCACGTGCGAGGAGCACCCCAGGCCGCCGCGGGGTGCAGCGTGGGCGCCCCCCGTGTCCGGCCCCCGCGGCCGGCCCCAGGCCGCTCCCGGGCGCGGGCCGGGCAGGTGCCCACGCGCGGGCGCCCGGCTGGCCTTCAGGGGGCGCGTCTCCGCGGCGCCCGCCGGGACCGGGAGGGCAGGGCGTGGCCGCGCGGCGAGGCCCCGCCCACCGCGCCCGAGGGGCGGGGCCTTCGCGTCACGTGACGGCGGCGCCCAGCGCGAGCGCCCCGCCCGGCGGGAGGAGTCCGGCCGCGACCCGGCCGCGCGCTGCTGGAGCCCGGCCGCCTCCCTGCCCCCGCGGCGCCCCCGCCCGCCGCCCCTCCGCGCCGGCCCCGGGCTCGCGGGCAGCGGGAGCGCCTCAAGATGGACGAAGACGGCGGCGGCGGCGAGGGCGGCGGTGAGTGCCGGAGGCGTGGCCGGCTGACTGGAGGCCTGGGTGGGGCTCGCGGGCGCGCGGGTCCGAGGTCGGGGGTCGCGGGCCCCGGAGCGCCGGGAGGACAGGGTCCGTCCCGGCAGCGCGGGTGCCGGCTGGCGACCGCGCGGGCCCGCGGCGCTCGGGGCCGGCGAGCGAGCGGAGGAGGGTCCGGGGCTCCGGGAGGGCCGGGCGGGGTCGCCGGCGGGAGCGGCCCGGGTCGGGCCGGGCTCGGGGTCCCTCTCGGCGGGCCGGGCGCCTCGGGGCGACCTTCCCGCCTCCTGTCACAAGGGCGCCAGCCCTCGGAGCCGCCGCCGCGCGCCTGAGCCCGAGCCCGCGTGGGGCGCGGAGCGGCGGGGCCGGGAAAGTTTTGGGGGACCTGGGGGTGCGGCGGGCGGGCGCGGGACGGGGCCGGGAGCCGTGACAGCCGCCGGGGCGGGCGGTCCGGGGCGGGCGGGCGCCTGGTGTGAGGCGGGACCCGCGGCCGAGTTGGCGGAGCCCGAGTCCGGAGCGGGGACCCCCAGCCGGGCCCGCCGGCGCCCCGTCTCCTCCGCGTTCGCCGTGAGCCACTGGGGGACGCGGAAGACGGGGTGTCCCAGGCGAGTTTCGCCTTTAAAGAGGCCACGGTGCCGGGTGGGGTGGTCCGGGTTTTGGGGAGCACAGGGGTCCCCCGCAGGTGAGGCTCTCCCCCCGCCGGCCCGCGCCCTTCAGTGAGGGGGCGTTCGGAAAAGCCTAATTACAGGCTGCCCCGCCGGCGCCGGCTCCGCCCGCCCGGTGCGCGGCCGGTCCGGGGAGGAGGGCGGCGCGGGGCCGCGGGGCGAGCTGTGGGCCGGAGCCCTCCGCCGGGCTGCCCCCGGGCGGAGCAGGCCCCCCGCCGCCCCCGCTGAGCAGGGGACACACGGGGAGAGAAGCGATGGGCCCGGGAGGCCGAGCAACCCGCCTGCTGGTGCCTTTGGTGTGTGTGTGTGTGTGTGTGTGTGTGTGTGTTAGGGTGACTTTTAGTGCAGTTTATAGATTTAAAAAAAGTTTTGTGATGTTGGACAAACACTTTCTTAAAATTTTTTTAATTTTTCTTTTCTTTTTTAAAAACGTATAAAGCTTTATTTGTGTAATGTGCCCAGTCTCAGGGCCTGCGGCCAGTCCTCAGTCAGCCTGGGCTGGGAAAGGCTGAGGAGTGTGTGTGTGTGTGTGTGTGACCTGGGTGGTGGCACCGCCTCCTGGGAATCCGGATTCCAAAATAAAAACATGTCACTGTCTACCAAGTTTAAAACATGATGTGATGTACCTCTCCGTTTTTATTTCCCAGTTCTGGTTGGTATTTAGCATTTTGTGTTTGTGTCGGGTGTACAGCGCGGAGGTGAGACAGGCACATACTTTACAAAGCCCACCTGGCCCGGACTTGGTTGCTAGCTCTGACCACGTTATACTAAGCAGACTCTGTTCCCTGCCGGCAGTTCTGTTCGGAGATCTTTCTGGCTCTGAGTGAGTCAAGGAATACAGAGGCTTGGAAGGAAAAGGAGGTTTAAAGATGGAGAAAAGTGAGCCGGTGGGCCCAGAAGTTCATCGGCCTTAGTCCTGTAACCAAGGGTGGCGTTCGTATCTCCTCTGGGAATACAATCTTGGAATTCAGAAGAAGTACTTCCTGTGTGGAGATGTGCATTGCGCGCTAACAGCAGAAAATTGGAAGCAGCATTGCCAGTAGGAGACGGTGAGGTAGATTGTGGGATGTTTATTGGATGAATTATTTTACAACCATTAAAAAATAAAGCAGTTTGCCCTAACCGGTTTGGCTCAGTGGATAGAGCATCGGCCTGCGGACTTAAGGGTCTCAGGTTCGAATCCGGTCAAGGGCATGTGCCTTGGTTGCGGGCACATCCCCAGTGGGAGGTGTGCAGGAGGAAGCTGATCGATGTTTCTCTCTCATCGATATAGCTAACTATCCCTCTCTCTTCCTCTCTATAAAAAATCAATAAAATGTATATTTTAAAAAATAAAGCAGTTTTATATGTTATGGTCTAAACAGTGTAAAAATGGTGATACTATGTTTTATTTACTTAATTTTTGTATTCAAGCTTCTGAAGGATGTGTATTACTTTGAAATTTGAACGAAAGAACTTATAAAAAATGTTCCCTGCACTAGAAAAGGGTCTGATTATTTAAATGTGTGATTTAATCCACCTCCTGGAACAGTCCAGAACGAACAGGTAACTTATTGATTGCCTACTAAGATGGCAGGCAGCATGCTAGGGCCTGGAAAACAACCCCTAACCTCTACCGGTATGGAGTATTGGGCTCTTTCTTCCTTGCATTATGGAAGACACTTAAAGATATGTTTGGGATAGTCTTGAGATAAGTAGGTTTTTGAATAAGTGATTATTGTATGAATTAGTTGTGCGCAAATATAACTCTTGATTACTGGAGGGTTTGACATTAACACACTTCTTTCCATTTCTTTAGTTATTACTACCATTTATATTTCTAAAAAATGCTTTGCTTTAAAATTCATGTTTTAAGAAATAAAGTACGGCATACAGTCATTGCCAGCCATGTGGAGCATCACTTTTTGGGGTGCATTTCAGAGTAACAGTACGGCGCTGTTTAGGCAAGTCGGTCCCAGGTTGTTTACAGACGGGGCAAATAATCTATTCCAGCAGCTACAGCAGGGGCGGCAGATAACCTGAAAGCTCGCTCTGCTGCTGTGCTGTGGGGTTAAAAGACTGTCTAAAAATGACTCCTAGATGCGTGTTTATAACGTAGGTTTGGTCCGGTGCATTATTATTTGTTCTTTGGGAGTGCGATAAGGAGAGGGAGGGTGGTATGAATGGCGGAGGCAGTGCCAGGGAGGAAGCAGGGGGATGAGATTACAGGAACACATTGTTGCTTACAGTTAAGGTATGGCCGCTCCTCCGGGGCGTGGTGCCATTCGGTTTTCCTAAAACGGCCCTGGAGCGGTGCCCCTCCCCGGCAGGTGACTGGCCACTCGGGCTCGTTGCCAGCATCACGATGCTCCGTCCGGAAATCTGTCTGATGGACGTTCCTGAATGTTCCATCGGTGGCCGAGGAGGTGAAGAACTTAGCTGGCTTTGCCCTCAGTCCCCCCTCCGCCCGCCCCACGCAGTCTGAGAAGATGCTCAGCCTCACTCGATAGAATAAATTACCACGAGGTTGGGGGCCGGGTTTCACCTGTCAGGCAAGCGATAGCCCCCAGCCTGGAAGCATCTGCTGGCCCTGGGAGTGCAAATCAGTTCCAGCTTTTGAGGAGGCAGCGCCGGCCTGGGTCCCAGCCTGGGTCCTGCTGGCTCCGACCCACGACCCACGGCTGCCTCCCGCCGGGAGGGGCCTGCTCTGCAGGCAGTGCTGCCCAGCCCCTTGGCACGCTGGCCTGGGCAGGAGGAGGGAGAGCCCAGGTTCTCTGGGTGAACCCCATCAACGAAGGGGCATTGGGCAGCGGCTTTTAAAGTGGCAGGTGTGTCAATCCTTTGGCCCAGCCATCCAGGTCTAGGAATGGAACCTGCAAGCATATTTGTGTGAGACCCCACAGGTGCGAGACTGCTCCCTGCCTTGCTGGTGACAGTGCAGGCGGACAGTGATGGAGGGCCCCCCCCAGGAAGCTGGCCAGTAACCCTCCCTGTGCGCGGGCAGGTGGGAGCGGCGTGGGAAGGAGCCAGGAGCTCGGTGTGGATTCGTTAGGCAGAGTGACAGAAGCAAAGCGTAGGGAAATGTCCATTGTCTTTCTGAGCGAGAGAGAGGAAGTGCATGCAAATTCCCGGGAAAGGTATACCAGGAACTAGTAACGGGGTTACCTGCTTGGCAGGGTGATGGGCACCGGGCAGGTGGGCACGCAGGTGCAGAGGAAGCTTCTCGCTGTACGCTCTAAGTGCTTTTAAATAAAAAGAAGTTGAAGTCTGCCTTTACTTCCCCCACAGACCAGTGGGAAGTTTCAAAGACAGGGCCTGTGGTTTCTGCCGTGCATAGGAAATGGATCCCCACCGTTCTTTCGAATGATCGCAGAGATCGCAGAGCGCCCTGACAGTGCTTGGAGAGCGAGCTTGGAGCGTTCTTTCCTGGAGGGTTTGCTTACTCAGCAGGCATTGACAGCACCCACCACTGCGGTCCTGGGCTTGGCATGGCCCGTTGTGAACAGGGCAGGGGGATCGCCTGTGCACGCGGAGCTTCTGTGTATTGTAGATGGGAGACAGACAGGGAAGGTGGAAAATAACTGCAAGTCGTGCAAAGCGTGCTGAAGGGACTCTGTGGGACCGAGGGGAGAGTGAGGGTGGGTGGGCCTGGGGGCAGGAGAATGTGGGCACAGCCGGCTGGCCAGCGAAGCCTGTGGAGGGTCTCTCAGGTGCAGCCTAAAGGGTATAGTGCCGGGCCGAGGGCAGCACTGGGCTCGGGGAGGGGGGGTGTGTGTGTCAGAGGCTTGAAGCTTTGTGTGGCCTGAACATAGAATGAGAGGGGAGAGGGGGCAGGCCTGGGGCCACAACAGGTGGTTTCAGCGAGAAGGAAGGGCCTCCAGCTGGAGAATGCATTTGATCACCTTTCAGTGACCGTAGCTAATATTTACATCCTGCTCTCCGTGTTGGGTTCCGTTCTGTGTGCTTTACAGATTTTAACCTGTTCACTCTTCAAAGTAACCCTCTTAGGTTCTTACTGTTGACAGAAAAAAGTGGAACACCAGGGAAGCCAAGTGACCTGCTTCCAATTTCCCAGCCGGCAGGTGGGGAGCTGAGATTCGAACCCAGGCCTTTGGGCCTCCGAGGCATATTCTCAGCCACTGTGCATGCAGCCTCTTTATGAAGAGTTCCTGGCCGCTGAGTGGACTGTGGTTGGAGGAGGGGATGAGAGGCCTTGGGCATACCAGGGCGGAAGCAGGTGCTGGGTTCAGCTGAGCGTCATAGATGCTGTTTATTCCTTGTAACTACTGGAAGGTTCTGTTGCCCTTGCCCTGTGTTGGTTGAGTGTTGGCCATGCACTGTAGTCAC